TATATACATATATATGTATATATATATATATATATACTGGGTATTGAATCCAGGAGTGCTTTACCACTGATCCACATTCCCAACCCTTTTTATTTCTTTATTTTGAAACAGGTTTTTGCTAAATTACTTAGGGCCTTCCTAAATGGTGGAGGCTGGCCTGGAACTATCGATACCCCTGCTTTAGCCTCCTGAGCCACTGGGATTGCACTACTATTCCTGGCCTGGCTCCTATATTCTTAATATATATTCCCTAGTCCAGAAATAGATAATTTCCTAGGGGTTCAGATATATTATTTCCTGAGCAAATATTTATGGGAGACTGTCCATGTGTAAGTAAAGAAAATCCCAGACCCACAACTACTACTAGACACTTTTAAATTTTTTTTTGAAATTTTAATTTTTATTTTGTGGTACTGGAGTGGGGTGGGGTCAAATCCAGGGCCTCTTTCATGCCCAGCGAGCATTCTACCACTGAACTACCAGCCCCTATTTTTCATTTCGTATCAGCTTTTTCAATTAGGTTCTAAGTATCATTTTTACCAAAATCAATTCTTTCCTTCTTCAGTTTTCCCACCGCTTTGGGCAGCTGTTTTCTCCAGTTCCCCCTACACATCCACCTTCAGGGTCTGACTGCATAATATCCATGCTGTGTCAGTTAAGAATAATAACCTGTACTACATGGAAGCCTTTAAATGAAACCAGAAGTGTGTGCCTGTCGCGTGTAGTGTTTCTGAACATCTGTCCCAACAAAGAACTGTTTATTCTGGTTTCCTGGTTCCTCTGTGATTCTTGAAGAGTCACCTGGGGTAACTCTGCAAAATCTCGATATTCTTAGAGTATAGCTTAGTGGCAAAATGCTTGTCTAGCAGGCAAATGTGAAGAAAGAGAAAGAGAGAAAGGGGAGAGACAAATATTCTCACTCACTTGCTCCTTTATGAACTGAGGTAATCTGCCCCTTCAAAGAAACTGCATCTCAGAGGCTGACCGTGACTCTGCAGCCTAGGATGCAGAGTGAGTAAGATGTGATGGCACGTGGCACCCCGACAACCTGTGAAGGTCTTTTGTTGATTTCCTTGCTTCCCGTGATATTTACCTCAAAGTGCTCTATACAGATTGCTTTTCTTTCTCTCTGGTGCTTTCAATATTTCCTCAGGGGAAAAAAAATCTGTGCTCATGTTGGCAATGATGAATATAATAATGATAGTGCTGTTACTTTATGGTTTTTTTTGGGAGGGAGGGAGTGGGTACTGGGGATCGAACTCAGGGGCACTCAACCATGAGCCTCATCCCCAGCCCTACTTTGTATCTTACTTAGAGACAGGGTCTCACTGAGTTGCTTAGCTCCTTGCTTTTGCTGAGGCTGGCTTTGAACTCGCAATCTATCTGCCTCAGCCTCCTGAGCCTCTGGGATTACAGGCATGTGCCTCTGTGCCAGGTGTGCTATTACTTTAGAAGAGGGAATTCTGCTTGATAGGCAAAATCCCCTGAGTTTGAGAATAAAATGGAAAACTTATTTAGCACTAGCAAAAAAAAAAAAATATATATATATATATATATATACACACACACACACACACTAAATCAAAGATTTTTAAGTAATTTTTAATGTTGTCTAGTCTTCCTATAAAATAAAGTCATATTTAAAAGTTAAACACACACACACACACACACCACATACATAGCAGCGATGAATCAGATTTAATTTGGAAATATCACCCTAATAAATATCAAGATATTTAGCAAGCATAAATTATCATACCTGGTATCACTATTATACTCATTAAGCTAATGTGTAAAATGTATCTAGATTCTTCTATAAAAGAATCCTGGGGGCAGATCCAAGTGGTCCAACCAATATTTATGGATACAACTTGTATACCCAACCTGGTCTGATAGTTTTTTTTTTCCAGCTTTTTTATACTCTTTCACACTCCTGTATGGTGGGCTAAAGAAAAGGAAATAAATTAAGCAAATTACTCAAGTCATACCGCCTGTACAAATGAGTGTAAAGTAAGAAAATGGAGCTTATTGCTAAGTTATGGTTTAATCCTTCCTTCTACGGCACTGTTTCAGTTACTTCATGTTTTCAGTCAAGGAATCAAAACAGAATCCAATGGATAAAAAGGGGCAAAATTCTTAACTTCAGAAATCCTAATTATGCTAGGAGAAATGCCCTGTCACTCAAGTTGGTAGGCAGGATTTAAATGGTACAGTACTTCTGTTCCTGCTAGGCGAGTGGCACAAAACTCCAAGAAGCCAAGCACCAGTTGTCACACTATATGTTTCCTTCAGGTGTCTAGACTGTCCCATGGAGTTAAGGTTAATGGACTGGAATTCTGGTTGTTCCACAATGTCTTGTCTCTGACAATGTAACATTTCCTCTCCATGGCCTTAATTTTCTCAACTATCAAAAACTAAATTGATCTAAGTAATTTCTAAGGCTCTGCATGGTCATAGAAGTCAGTGACAGGATAAAATTTTATAAATTATCTTCTCCTGCCCTGGAAGAGTAGGATAGTTATTGTGGGCCAGGCTTACACATAGCTGGGAGAGGACTCAGTCTTAGAAAAAAATCAGAATGTCATTTAGCAATACTAAAGCGTGGACCATGGTGAAATGCTTTCTCAGGAAAGAAATAGAAGAATCAATTGATACGTTGAACATTTGGAGACTGACCCGTGACTGATGGAGGAGATAAGGGAACTCCCTTTGGATCTCAAATTGACCCTCGTTCTAGAAGGATGGCGTGGTTTTATCAAGCATGGACTGGGATTCTCATAGGGTACATGCTAAGATTTTGTAGGGTGGTGTACCTCCTAAGAAAATTAGACCATGATTCTTACATTTTTAGATTTGTTTTTAAAAATGATGTTCTTTACCTAAGAAACTAATTTCCCCAATTCTGTTTCTTTTCTGCCATCTTTTCTTTTTCTCCCCTGCCTTTGGGGTCATCTTCCAAAAGATGAGTGCATCCTTCGAAGAAGTGAGCCTGGGTCTGCCGCTGAGCGCTCCAAGACTGCTCTTTTGATCACCTCCTCCGTCATGCTGCTGCTTCTGCTGGGGGCCGCTGTGTTCGTCTGGAGGAAGTCTCGGGGCCGAGTCCAGCCAGTACAAAAGGCCGGTTATGAAAAGCTGGCTGACCCTGCCAGGTCATACTCCTCCTATAAGAGCAGCTATGGCGAGGGCACCAGCTTTGAAGAGGACCAGATGATCGAGTATAGGGACCAGGACTATGATGAGGATGACAATGATGACATCGTCTACATGAGCCAAGATGGCACAGTCTACCGAAAATTTAAGTATGGACTGCTGGAGGATGAGGAGGAAGATGAGCTGGAATACGATGACGAGAGCTATTCCTTCCAGTAGACACAGCCCACCTCCACCCCTTCCTCTCGTGGGCATACCTGTGAGCATGACTGTTTTGGTTTTATCCACACACCAGGCTGAGGTGTGAGTGTGTTTGTCTTCTTAACCACGAATCCAACCAGAATATGTAAGAATGCTGAAATATTTTGTGCTTGTTTTGAGTGACTAAATTCAATTAACAGTTCCTGCTCAACCATCATTGAGGAGCAAGGATCAAATTTAAAGGCATTTTCCTCAAAATGAAATGTGAAGACACCAAAGCAGGAAGTAAAATTAACTCTTTTATGTGATTTTAAAAAATAGGGAGGGAGCAGAAGACCAGTAGGGATTTGGTTTCCAAGTTGCATTGTGGGGAGCTCTGCTACTTTTTAGAATTCTGATATTTCTTGAAATAACTTGCGGGGGGGTAGGGGGGAAGAGTTGGCTTAACAGGGATTTCTTTCCCCTTCTGGCTGTGTTTAGGCAGAGATTTCTTTTGTGAGAATCAAGGGAAAAAAGTGTTCTTATCTGTTGTTCCCAGAGTGTCCCCTGGTGAGCAGAAAAGAGCATCCCGGCTGAGGTGGCTCAGGACCCACTTAGAAATGAGGAAAGAGGAGAAGCATCATAGCAGAGGAACCACGAGTTTGCTGGGCCCTGGTTCATCCAAGGGTATACAGAGCCATAATGATCCTGAGGGCAGAATGGCTCAGGCAGGAGGCAGATGAGAGCAAGCCCAGTGTGAAAAAAAATCACCAAGATTCTAAGAACCACACCCCGTGATTCTCCAAGAAGTTTTCTAGTAGGAAATCATGAAAGAAAAATGGCAATGTGAACCTAACATAAAATGAAAAAAAAAATATATCCATTCTAAGAAAAAGACTAGCTATCAAATCAGAGGAGCTTCCATCCACAAACCCATCAAAGAAATGCAGGCTCTCCATAGAGAAAGCTGGAATGGAGTCTAACAGGAGGGGATAATCCCAATGTGCTGCTCTGCTTGCAAGCTGTAATCCAGCTGTCAAACAGCCTCCCAACATGTTAGCACTGTGGCTCTGTTTCTAGACTTCCTAAGCTTCCCTTTTTCTCCTTCTCCTGTCAAGTGTGCTCTTAGATACAAATGAGGACAATTTTTCTGCAGATAGTAGTTCAGAGAGAGGGACTCTGGCTACTCCAAAGTATACCAGCAGAATCTTGTGGATTTCCTTGTCAAAGAAGTTACAGGCACTCTTAGGAGTGGGACAACAAAGAGTGAAAGTGACATTTTCAGATGATGGCAATAGTCAAAATATACTGCACACCTATTGTATACCAGGTATCAAGCTAAGTAATTCCTCGAAAGAAAGAAAGAAAGAAGGAAGGAAGGAAGGAAGGAAGGAAGGAAGGAAGGAAGGAAGGAAGGAAGGAAGGAAGGAAGGAAAAAAAGAGAAGAAATCACCACACTTACCCACTTGACATCACAAGTCTATCAGGTTGGAGTCGTCATTGCCCTACCTTTGGCTTACAAAAGGCTAAGTCACAGGACTGGGCATAGTGACACATGCCTATAATCCCAGGGAGGCTCAGGAAAGAAGATTAAGTTCAAGGCCACCCTGGGCAACTTAGTGACACCCTGTCTCAAAATAAAAATTATTTTTAAAAAAGGACTAGCTCAGTGGTAAAGCATCTGGGGTTCAGTCCTCAGTACCAAAAAAGAGGCTAAATCACTAGTTTAAGGTCACAGAAAGCTCACCAAACTCCAAACAATAAGTGTGACCCTAAAGTGCATGTTTCTAACAAATATGCTCCACTAACATAAGATGGGAAAATAAGCATGACTATAAATAAACATGTCTATTATTGTATTCTATGACATCGATATCCTTCTAGGAAGTGTGTGATTTTTCATTCACTAAGTTCATATATTTTTTAAACAATGTGACATGGACATGGGAAATCTTGATAAAGAAGACTTCCATTTACTGAAGCCTTGTGTTTCTTCAGAGGAAAGTTCTTAGGGTTAGTAAGCTTTCTCTGGAAAGAGCCAGATTTTTGTTACTACTTCAGGCCTTGTGAACTAAAAGATCTCTACTATAACTATTCGGCTCTGCCATGGTAGTGTGAAAGCAGCCCCTACCCTATGAATGGGAAGACTGTGTTCCAATAAAGCTTTATTCGTGGACACTGAAATTTGAATTTCAGATAAGTGTCATACATCATGAAATATTATTCTTCTTTTGATTTTTCTTAACCATTTAGAAATGTAAAAATTATTCTTAGCTCACAGAAGTACAAAAACAGGTGGTGGGTCAGATTTGGCTATGGTTTGTGACCTTGTCTTTAAAAAATTCTTCAGAGCCAGGTGCAGGTCCAGAACTGTGATTCCAATAAGGCTACACTTCCTTGGGAGGCTGAGGTAGGATATCGCAAGTTCAAAGCCAGCCTCAGCAACTCAGCAAGGCCCTAAGCAACTTAGCAAGACCCTGTCTCGAAATTAAAAGATAAAAAGGGCTTGGGGTGTAACTCAGTGGTAAAATGCCTCTGGGTACAATCCTCAATACTAAAATAAAAATAATTTCAGAAGTTCTCTGTATCATACATACATATGATATGCTTTCCAAAATTTTAATCATTTAAAATTAGCTCTTCAAAATCCATTTAAAGTCCTGATAATTCTCTTTTCACTTCTGAAAAATGCTTGTAAGATAATCATCACATCCATGGGAGAATTTTCTTATCCATTGCAGTGTACAGAGTTAACCTACAGAAACAAGTAATTTTGCTTATACTGTGTTGTTCATCTTCCTTGATAATTTTAAAACTATGATAGACTGAGTTGGACTTTTTTTTCAATAGCCTGGAAATTGTTTTCCAAGAAAAGTCTGTGTTTATGATATGCAGTTAAAGGTTGAACAAGGTTGTAATGACCTTGAACACTAAGAAAAATTGTGCTCTTCTTCTATGTGACCTGCAGTGAAAAGAACACATGTGCTTATCTACTGGCAAGTTTGACAAGTTTGTGCTTAGTCATGCCACATTATTCTCTCACTTCTTTTGAAAATTATGCTTACAACTGTCTTAATAGATAAATATGTGGTTGGAAAACAATGTCACCTTTGGTTTTGTTTGCAAATAACTTGGAAATACTAAGAGAATCCTCAAAAACTGGAAATATACTAAAAAACTGGATAAGAGCTTAAAAGGTTCTGATGGAATGTAAATAAATGAAATTAAGACCAGGTGATGCTATGAAGACTCTCTCTTTTTTTTTTTTTTTCCCCCTTTGGTACTGGGGATTGACAGGGGCACTTAACCAGTGAGCCACATCCCCAGC